TTGCAAGTAATTTAAATTAAGTTAGTCATGTGCTGTATCACTCCTACATAAAAAAACCGTAAAATGTTTAATAAAAAGAATAAAAAATTAATAAAGTTAGTGATTTAGTCAAAATTAATTAAATTCCAAATAAGTGCAATGTTCATATCCTATGAAATGCAACTGTGCAGTTATGAAGGGCAGGATGCTGGTATGAGGCGGCTAAGAGACAATATCGGGTAAAATTTTTCCTAATGAACCCTTCTGAAAAATGTTTTGAATATTTTAGGATTAAAAAAAACCCCATGAGGGTGTAATGATTCCAGAAATTGTAAACTGTAAAGGTGCAACAAAGTCTTTATTTCCATCTATTAATTTCAAGTACTGTACAATGGGGGCAGCATTTACAAAACTTGCCTAATTTTATTACCTTTAATTACTGCAAGAGATTCTGCTGTGCAACCATTACTAGCTGCACAGCTGCTTCTCTTACAGGACTTGCACCTAGATATTTATGAAGAGTAACATTTGAGTAACAATACCAGTTGACAATCCGATTTAAATAAAATATAAAATATTGTTTGTGTTGCTAATTAACATTCCTGTTATTATTTAATGTGAATCTTTCTTAGTGTAATTTGTTTTCTCTTGATTTCAAAAATTGTAATGAAGCAAAGTATTTATACGTCTTAATTAATTTATTTAAATGATATATTCTTTGTTGCCATTTTATGTATTTTGGCTATTATAAATTACTATATTTTGAATGATGATACATTATTAGTTGATTTACATATAAATTAAGATTTGGTTGCTAAAGAATGCTGGGAAACTTGGTTAAAAATTCAAAATCTTTACATTCTGCTTGAAAATTTTTACTTATGTATATAATTAAAGCTCTGATATCATATTGCTCTCATCAGAATTTATCCTTCACTGCACATATGAAGCCTTAAATTTGGCCCATGGAGAGAAATTTAAAGCTTTTAAGCAATCTTTAACAATTAACTTTCATCTATTTTATTAACGAACAGTTAGAATTCATTTTTATCATAATCATGTTAACAACAAATTAAATGCTTCATATCACTTCACTTAATAAAAAATATTATAACAGGTGCAGGAGGAGTTCATTTATCCAGTAAGGTGTTCAATGTGTGCACTACATGTGACACAGCATTCATCACTTACTTATTTACCAGTTATTGTACGTCTCACAAAAGAAAAAAATTTACAAAAAATCATCCACATTACCTTTAAACTTGTTGCTTGACTTATGTAATTAATCCAATTAATCATTATTTAAATTCTTGCATTCACTTATGATAAATTTTGTAAAAAAAGAAAAGCCTTATACAGAATATATAATTACCTGGAAAATATAAAGCAAACTTAGAAATTTGAAGAAAAATTGGTTATTATATCAAAAAATTTAGCTTAAAAGAAAAAAAAATGATAATTTAGTCTTTTAATTATGGCTTGAAATTTGCATATTTGGTATATTCACCCATATATATGTGTGTAGAAGCACCAAAGTCAGACCCTCCCTCTAATATACATACAGTATATAAATTGTTTCATAATTTTTTTGGAGATACAAAAAGTCACTGCAAGAGAATTGAACTCACCTCAATGAAACCAGCACTGGAACTCAAACAGTTTTTTTAACACTTACAAATGTTTAATGTGTGCACTACAAGTGACACAGCATTCATCAATACGATAATCCAATTCTTACCACACCTTTTGCAATGTGGGCCTGTCGATAGTAAACAGTACTGTGATGATACACTCTTTTAGCTTGTGATATATTGTCACATCAGCATCCACTATCAACAGGTCTACATTACAAAAGATGTAACAAGAACTGGATTATCATATTGATGAATGCTGTATCACTCGTGGTACATGTAAGGTCTTCAAAACCTTCTAAAGCTTCAAAACTTTTGGCATTTTTAAGATTTGAAACTTTGGGAAGAAATGAGCCAAAGTTATGAAGATTTTAATTAATATTCGAACAATAGTAAAAGTAAATTTCAGATAGAAGAAATAAACATGTCTGTGTTGATATGCAAACACAGTGAAAATGTAGAGAAACTTTATTTACTGCTCAAAACCATCAAACTATATCAACTGATAGTAAAAGGGTTTTCTTGATTTGTGATAACATTGTAACAAAATGAAAAAATCAATTGTTGTCTTGTCTTTTTAATGCTTTTGTATACTTTGGGATTTTCTTTGAAATAAAAATTCAACATGTTTAATAATCAAAACAGATTTGAAATTCAAAATTAAATTTGAATAAAATTTGTTTCTAAAATTTCCGGTCTGTATTTATGAATTTAATTTTAAGAATTCTCGATATAATCATCTAATTAATTCATAATAGATTGAATTCATTCATTTCTAGTAACAATAAATTACTATGGGAAAAATGGTGGCATTAAAAGTTTTGAAAATCATGCTTCAAAACTTTGAAGGTTTAAAAAGCCAAGATTTGATATTCCTAGTGGACATATTGAACATTTGTAAGTGTTAAAAAGAAAAATGTTTACGTTTCAGTGCTGGTTGAGATGAGTTCAGTTCTTTTGTAATTCCAAAAAACATTATAAAATACTGTTCCAATATAGAATGCGTCTCCTATATACCTTTGATGCGCAGTATATGGTTCCTATTACAACAAAGTTTGGCCACCCCTGCAATATAATAGCATAAATTAACACCAATTAATTTTATCTATTTCTACTAAAATCAGGTGTAGGTAAAGATTAATATAAGCAATAGAGAGGTTGAAGCGGAAGTTTTCATTGCAAAAACGTGAACGTCCAATGTTTACATTTTCGCAATGAAAATTCCGTGCAACCTCTCTATTAACTTGATACGTACAGTACAATTTAATTAAACAAAACCTTTTACTACTCTGCATTAGATTTAACAAAAACAAATGCTTTCAGTCAACTTAATTAACCAAAAATTATGTTTCTCAAGTGTAAATTTTATACTGAATAATAAAAGCTTTAGTTACTACTAATAAAATTTTCAGCAAAATATATAATAAAAGAAAATTCAAAATGTATTTATTCTTACAAAAGAAAAAGAAAGTACAAAATATATCTAACAATATTAAATAAAGAAATGAAAATTTAACATTGATTAACAACAAATGCTTCTTCAACACTTAAGGTACGATGATATGCACAATACAAATTTTATATGATGATTATCATATGTATAAATATATAGAGATTTGTATTAATAAATTTTTATCGAAATCTTTGGATTAATCAATATCACAGAATTCCACCACATTAAATGAACTGACAAACACTTGGTGTATGATTATAAAGATAAATAAATTTGGCATATATTATATAATTTTCAAATTAATAATATCCAACAATATTTTATACACACCAAAAGAATATTATATTAATAATCTTTCATACAAATGTCTTTGAAAACAATAAAATTATTTTTAAAAATTTAATTGAAAGACAATCCCAGATACACTGCATTATTAGAAGTATTGTATACTATATATAAATGGCAATGTGCATATTCCTAAATTCATTTTTGAAGTTTCTTACTCTCAAAAAAACTGTCTGAAGTCAGCCACAATTTGACATTTTCTTTAGAATGTTGCACATAGTTTTTAAAAAACTCTTGGCATTCTTATAGATGCAACCCTCAAAGATATCTCCTTACAGAATTTGTGTAATTACTGTTTATGTACACCTATAAATTCGGTTTTTGAATTTATTATATAGAAATGTTCTTTGAAAGGTTTTAACTTTTATTATTTATAACTTCTTTAATGCAAACTAAAGAAATAGTTACACAATTTTTTTCACTCCAAAAGCTTGAATGACTTATAAAAATACTGCTTTATTGAAATCAAAAGGGTTAAAACAAAACACCTTCCTTAGGATAGGGGAAAAAGGACCGAAAATACTGAAAAGGCCTTTTTTCCATACCCAACATGGGTTTGTTAAAAGGACAGCTGGGTGTTGGAGACAGAGCCTTTGTATCCCGGACAAAAAATTCCTGAATTTCTTGCCCAATTCCTAGAGAGACAAGCTGGTGTCTTTACCAACTTGGTCATCTCTGTCCACTTTTGGACTTCTTAGATATTTTGGAAAAATTCAAAAGCGGTAACAAAATTGTTTCATACCTTCATCAATTTGTCTCCTGTAACAGTATTTTTATAGTTCTTTTTATAGTATTTTGTATAATTTATTTCAGAGTTTTAAGTTCTTAAAATAAACTTTTCATCTGTTTACTAGAATTAGTCAATTTATTACTTTATACATTTTTAACTAATAATAATAAATATCGCTATTAATTATTCTGCCATTAATGCTTAAAAATTTTTTAAAGATCATCTATTCATATTGAGTATAAAAAATATATTAAACTATTAGATTTTTAAATATCCTTAAAGTTGTTATAATTAATTTTGACTTGCTTCTGACAAAGAATTTATTTTTTAATATTAAAACTTTTAGCTAAATAATTTTTAACTATTCAAATAATTTTCCACAATCAAGATGACCCAAAAGTCAAGTGACTGACTGACCTTTGGACACACTTTCTTGCAAATTATTGCAATTTGTAAATATTTAAAACGAGAATTTTTTCTTAATTTTTTTAAAGTTTATAAGCAATAAAATATTTGAATAAGAGAAAAAGTTTGGTCCAAAAGTCAATATCAACATTAGTTAACTTTGTGAAATTGCAATAAATTTAACAATATACAGAATCTAGTTAAATATTACAAATTTACATTATTTTGCTTAATACAAACAATGATATTAACAATAGCAAAACTATTTATTAAATATGATATTTTGTTTTAAATTATTCATTAACTATGAGTAAGATAAATAAATTTTAATTAACAAGATTTACATTAAACAATTATTAATCAAGAATCTGAATTAATAAACATCATTTTATATATTTTTGAATTGTCATTATTAAATTAATTCCAATTCTAAATTAAAGAGTTGTAAAAAAAAATTCAGAGAAATGATTCTTCATAATTTTTATTGACTCAAAAACTCATTTAAATTTAACATATAAGATTAGAGGTTGGATTTATAGCCTCATAACAAGAGACTATAACCAAAGGCCTTTCATTTTTAAATCTATTATTATTTATAAAAGGATCAGATCCTCTTTTCTCTAGTCTTCTCTACTATTATAGCTTAGGACCAGAAATCTAAATCTGGTTTTTCTAATATCTTTGTAATAAAAAACTTTTTTATGTAACATGTAACAAACTAAAATCGCAAAGGATCGAACCCATATCATGCAGTTCTAGCATCTAGAACCTTATTCACTCGGCTACTGCCATTCCTAGAATAGGTAGAACTTTGAGATTTATGGGCCTTTCAAAATTGGGTGTTTAGCTTGTTTTTCCGAAATGCTTGAGAAGTGGGTCCTATTATTTGGATAAGGAACTATTTGTGTTTAGTGCTACATGCTCATCAAGTATCATACAAATCGGAGATATGAACATCTGGCCATCTCCTTGTTAACATTCAATTACTAGCACTTATAGTGCTTTCTTTTTATAAATGAAAACTATAGTTTAGTTATGTAGAATTTGTTAAAATTTGCAATAATAAAGGTGTTCTTTGCTTTTCTTCTAAAGCTATGGCATTATTTTAATCTAAAATCATGTTAAAATTGTTGAAATTCTATGACAAGATTGCATTCTATGCCAGGAATATTTTTATTTACATATAAATTGCACTTAATTTTATTTTCTGTCAAACTACACTAAACAAAAAAATTCATTTTTTGTTTAGTGTCGTTTTTAAATTTCAACTATTCTTTTGGAATAAGTTCCATATTTTTTAAGGCCATTTCAAGATGCTAAGGGCATTAACTAAATACAGCATTCCTTTAAGCCTACTCTGATTCCATTAACTGAAGAATAGTAGCAATAAAACAAAATATTTTTGCTAAACTTTTCATCATTTTAATATTTGAGCTTGTTTAGTATTCTTCTAGCATAATTCAACACTTAATTAATAAAAATTGCAAAATAATACATTTTCAGTTAAATTAATGATAAATTAGATGATGATGCATTTACCAGTTATCAATAATAACTGATAAATGCATTATCATCATATTAATAGCAATTTTTTCAAACCTAACTTTAACTAATTTCTTTAAATAAGCAAATAATTACATTTGATATGTTATTCTGAGTTAATTCTGCCACATTGCTGAATAATTTATTTTTATCTTTAAAATTAAACTTTAAATAGTTTTTACACAATGCAATTTATCTATTATTAATATATTTTCCAGAATTTATTTCACTCTGCAAACTGTAATTAGTGAGATAACTTGATTCACATGTATAGATTTCTATTAACAAGATTTCCAAAAAATCAAGTGTATCATCTCATTATTTACTTTAATAAAAGCAACTTTGACTTTTCTCATTTAATTTTGTTTTTTTATCTGAATGTCATTTTTAGTTAGTGTTGAATATTGCTTGAATTTTAAACTATTTCTCTCTCTATTACTAAATCTCAATTATTAAATATGATAAACACAATATGTTACAGGATGCACAATAAAATCCATTCTTTAAATCAAGTGTACTGTTTTCATACTGTATATGTTATGAATAAATGTTATAATAAAAACTAAAACTCTTTCTTTCAATAAATCATATCTTTACAGATAAAAATTGTAGCAACATCTTATTTGGATGACTTCAATTCAAAACTTGAATTGTAGCTTAAATAAATCATGATTTTTGTAAACAAAAAATGTAACTGTCTACAAACAGGATATTAAATAATGAAAATTACTGTTGACACCAATTTTACAGACCTTGATGTAAAGATTTCAGAAACAATGGACTAAATTCAATTGTTCCAAGGCATCTGTCAGAATATTAGACTGAAATGTTTAGAATGCAGATCAGAACACTGGATGCTCAGCACTCTGGCAGGGATTTAAACAATAGTTTGTCTGTTGTTACCAAAAATGTCACATAAATAGGAGGAAAACAATTGGCATTACTGGGCCATCACTTTCTATATATAAAGAGTTAACAGTAATTATATATTGATATGTTAAATATTTTACAGAATAAAATCAGAGCATTTATTGTATGGCACAAGAGAAAATGAGAATATAACTCTGCCCAATACGAATGCTATAACTATACATGCATATTTAAGCTGAAAATAATTTTATAAAAAAAATAATCTTTATTTGCATAGCAATCTTTGCTTACTTATCTTAAGGTCAATTTTATTGAAATGACTCAAAATTTTAATTAAATAAAGAAGTTAAAATGATTTTATAGTTACATATAGTTAACAATTTGGATCTTCTTTTTCCTTATTAACATTCTTTGAAGCAGACTGGGCTTTTTTTAAATTCTGTTGTTCTATTTCTGCAAGAGCAGCATCCAATAATTTCTGAAGTTGAGGAGGGAGATTATCATCATTTTGAGAACCTGATGATTCTTCACTCAGATAGCGTTGTCTCTGAAAATCTGAATCTGAGGATCTTGAAGGGATTTCAGAATCGCTACTTATGTCTCTATTCTCTTGAAATAATGTCCGCAAGGGAGTACTTGGATGAGAGCTGAGATGACTTGAACAACTGCTGGAACTTCGAACAAAGCTTTCGGCTATTTGAAAAAATTTTGAATATCATGAGTCTTAATATTGATAATTAGAAGTAATAAATATACAATATTTTAAATAAATTGTCAGTTAAAATTTAATTTTAATATAAAAAAAATCCTTATTCATGTAATTTTATCATCATCAAAATATGTTATTTTACTCATATTTTTGCTAAACTCTCTCTTATCCATCAACACATGGAACCTGACGAGTGAAAAATTTGGGAGTCAAGATTACAATAATTATGAACACAGTTCTGCTACATTTATTTATATGTACTACATACAGTAGACATATGCATTTTTATAGGATACACACGTATGTATTAAAAGTTTGATTTTTTTTACAGCTAAATTCCAATTTGTGTTTGTTCAGCCTCTTCTTGCTTTTTGTACCAAGAAAGGCAATTATTTGGCATCTTTTCTGCTTCAGATAGCTAATGACATGGTTTATAGGCTGATACAGACCTTAACATGCTATCCAAAGAAAAAAAAAAAAGCAAAATTGTCAAACAATGTCTTTCATTATAGCAAACTGGACACAACTATATTATTGATACTATTATAATTAGATTCAAAGCAGTTTTGTTTTTGCCAAATAAGACAAAAATGGATAAGTTTAATTTTATGAATTATAGTAAAGAATTTTTGGCAAGTTGGCATTTGAAAAAACAAATTAAAAATATTTTTTATATAATCAATTTTTGTGCTTCAGTTTTCAAAACTGATGCATATGATTGTTTTATGTTTTTCTAGTTCTTAACTTTAATGAAATCTTTTGATTTCATTCTTTAAGTATGTTTATAAATGTCTTAAGTTAAATAAACAAAATGTAATAGTTATATCAGCAGAATTAATTGTAGATATTAAAACATTAAAAGAGGACTGTTAATTGTTTTTCTTTCTTTCTTAGGTTTAATAACCAAAACATTTGTGTAACTTTAATTAAACTTCTTATAGTCCAGTTAAAATTTGGCAGTATCATATGCTTATTAGTATGGGAAGTGTTCTACAGCTTTCACATTATCAGCATTGGATTCAAATAGAAATAATGTTAAATGCTTTAACAAATTTTATCAATTTGACTGGAAAGTTTGTAAACTTGTTGGCCATTCTGCTGGAATTCCAATGTAAATATGGAAGTATCTGAAACTATGAAGAAATAAATCATACAAAAAACATTTTATTGATAAATAATTAATTAATTTCTTAAATTTTATTTAATCAATCAATCAATCCCTGACCACCTTATGACTGCTGGGAAACATTTATTTAAATTACATTCAAAATATGAGGTACCACTGTATTATGTAATTTGGACTAAGAGTAGGTGATTATTTATTAAAACAGATGGCAGCATAGATATTAATTAATACATTTAATTTTAGAATATTCTCAGAAGAAAAGATCAATCTATAGTGGATCTCAAACATGCAATTCCTGCTTACCATGGAGATACATTGCCAATTATGTTATTCAAATGTCTGTCTGAACTTTGTTTTCAAGCCATTTAATTTAGAGAAACATGTATAGTTATATCTTCTAAATTAATTGATCTTGGACAGAGGTACAGGTAGCACAATTACCACACAGGAATTGTGGGTTTGAGTCTTGTTCCTGGTTAGTCTTTTCTTCTAAATTATTAAATAATTTCTAATTATTAAGATGCCATCTTGTATTAAACTTATGTAATTTGTATTAAATGCAGGCAGTTAATCTTTTATAATTAATTAGCCATATTGCAGCCCAATTTAAAAATAATCTTTCTGAATTTTAATTTTTTTTTAGTTTGCACAAGTTGAAAAGGATAGCCTTTTTAGTAATAGCCATCATGATTCAGACAGTTGAAGGGACAGATCAACTCACCTGAAAAATTCCTGTGTTTGCTCGTGCAGATTCAATTGTGGCTGATATGCTGACATATTACCTTGACAACTGGATTGCTGTGGCAGTTATTTGTTTTATTACTATATGTCAAGCTTGGTTTTATAAGTAACTCTACATGCTTCATATCACTTTTTATATTGTTTCAATACTCAGCTCTGATTCATTTCTTAGTGATTCAATATGTGAAAACTATAAAAATTAGGCTTCTGCATTATGTCCACTTTGTACAAAATGACATATTTAAATGCCAAATATCATCTTGGTATGTATTAAGTAAAGTTTAAACTATATTTTGAGGAAGATCCTATATCTACAGCAAATATATTGTTTGCTGATGTTTTTTCAGATCATGAATGTAGCACTATATTATTAATATATTTAATTTTCTAGTTTATTTGTACTATTCTGGGTATTTAACTATTACTGTTCATTTAGAGAGAGAATTAATAGGTTTAAAATTTTATACATCTAAAAAATTAAGTTGTCTCATGTGAAATGTCATTTTATGCTGATGTTGCTGATATGGTGTCAACTTGGGTGAAACTTTGGTGTCTCTCTTTTTAGTCTATGATCTTATTAGGTACCTAGAAATGGTCATATGACTCAGACAGGTCCTATTGTCTGCATGTTTTGCTTGGGGTCTACTTCCACAATAGCCTTTGAAATTATGTCTGAAACAGCAAATAGCAGTTCCCACTGGTTCATTTCCAGGCTCTGATCTCTGCTCTGAAACTTCTCAAACCATTTCTTCACAGTGAAAGCCATTACAATGGTCTCACCAAAGTCCTGTAAATGTTTGTGGCTGTCTTGATCCCTTTTGTGTCAGAGTTTAAACTCAAAGAACATCAGAACACTTAAGTCATGAGTTTACAGTATTGTAGAAATGTGCATTGGGTCACCTGGTGGTGCTTTCAGTATACAGCCTAAAATGATATTTCACATCAGACAATCTAATGATATATTTTACTTACAAGGAACAGGACTTTCTTTAGTGGGAAGTAAATCTAAATCACTAAAACCAGATCCACTTCTGTTTCTTTTCTCTACTTCAGAAGAGGTATTTTCGTAATCTTCATCCTGAAGTTTGGCTTCTTCAACTTCTTCATTCTTCAACAAATTTGATGTAGTTAAAGCAACAGCCTTTGTACACGTAGGTGGTGTTGGAGTTATTGGATTGTTTTCCAAAACCACTTTCTCCTCTTCACAGCATATTTTATTTGTACACATTTTTGCTACAGAAAGATAAATAATGTGCAGTCATTAAAAATAATATATAATAAATAAATCCAAAAGATATTTTAATATATAAGTGAACTAACTAAAATTAAGAATTTCTTTACAATAAAGAAAAATATTCATAAATGCAAAAATTTTAAATTTTCGTTTATTTACAGCAAAAAGTTTCAATAAAAATCAGAAATGCTAAGAGAATTTTTCTAAAATTATAATTTCAGTGATATCAAAAACTAACTCAATAAAGTAAAAATTGCATTACAAATACTAGTCATATCTTGCTTGCTTGCTTGCCATTTTTTACAAAAAAAAATCTTATATTATTAATTGTTTTCGGATTGTCACCTGTGAACATTTTAGACTATTTTACATATTTGTGCAGAGCTGTAGCCTACAAAGAAAGGTCATCTCTGCAGTGAAGAATGGTTGTTCCAGGTGATTGGACATGGCAAGCAAGCAAGATACTAGTAATGCAATTTTACTTTATTAAATTGTAATTCGCGCCAGCTCTTTTTTACAAAAAAAATCTAACTTAAATTGTGGTTCTTTTTAAACCAGTGACTCCAAAGTGGGTGCTACTGCCCTCTTTAGGGTGATGATAAAAAATATATGCATCAGTAGTCTGAAAGGTTTGGAAAACACCATTTTAAATGAATTTAAGAAAAGCCACTTTTAAATTTCATTCTTTAGAAACACTTTGTCTGTATTATAATTTTGTTACATTGCATACCTCAGATATATCATCCTAGATTCCAGATAGATGCCATAACTCAAAAATGTTCACAAGTTAAAGCATTGCCTTTGTTTCCCTTATTGTCTTAAGCTATGTAATTAAAATTATCAATAAAAATGCAAAAAAATACAAAGGAACTATAACTCAAAAGTGAACATCTCAAGTTTGTGAAAGTGGAATTCAAAATATTATAGCTCATACTTGTATATTATAATATACAGAGAGATTACTAAAACAGTTGTAATGTTCTGTTTCGAATAAAACTAACACATTTTATTCTAAAAGTCTAAAGAATGATTTACTTACAAGGAGAGTGCATATGGTAGGAAATGCAAATCTAAATAAACTTTTGTTTGTTGGTGGTTCTACCCCAAGAACACACACAAAAGATTAGAGACAGCCATTCATCCAATAATAATTAACAAAAATAATTTTAGTGTTGTATTTCAGTGTAGTTTTATGGAGAGTTTGATAAGGATTACATTTCAAAGCACAGCAGGTAGCATGCTAAAATTTGTCTACTACAATGCTATCCTGATTTTGTATCTCAACGTTGCCAGAAACTTTCTTTTTTCAAACTTTAGTTAAAATAATATCTATTTAAGTCAAGAGTTCAAAAAAGGCTTTCTTATTTTTATAATAATGATTTTATTTTTACTTTTAATTAATGAAGGTTTTAAAACAGATAACAAATGGTATAAATAGAGAAGTCCTGTTCCACAGAAGAACAGAAATGATTTCCATTTCCTGTTTAGTGTACCTTTTATATCTAAAAGTTAACTAAAAATCACCATATTTAAGAAGTCAATTTAAACTTATTTTGTGTTGTGTTCATATTCTACAAAATTACAAATTTCAGAAGAAATTCTGTATTGTACCTGTAGGTTGAAGAATAGTTTGTCAAAAAAAAAAAAACTTGAAATACATTCCTAGAATAAAGATACAAATACAGTGAAATGTCAAAAATCTGAACATTGAAAAGTAGATATTAGCCTTTCAATGGTAATTTCATTACTGATGTTTAACTCATTCAGAATTTTTTAATTTTGGAATTATGATTAGTGAATCTTTTATTTAAATATAGCCATGCTGCAAATTATATTTTTGAATTTTTTAAATATCCCTACATTCAATGTGAAATACTGGCTTGAACTTAGAACACAAATCTGAATTAGTGTATTTAGTGAATTATAGTACATTATTACAGTATTAAGTACTGTAAACTCCAAATACATTGAATTCAATGTAATAATCCACTGTATTAGAGTATTTAAACTTTCAGGAAAAAATTGATTATACAGAAAGCATCAAAAATCTAGACTAATTGAAACTTGACCCTATCCTGATTTTAAAATATAGTATTAAATTATCATTTTAAGTTTATTTCACAATCCAGTAATTTATTTTATTGAACATTAAAATTATTCTTATATTTTAAAAATTTTAACTGATTAAAGTTGATAAATAAGTCAGAATAAATCAGAATCGATTAAATCATAATTTTAAAAAAATATCTGATTATAAATGATTTATTTGGTTATTTCTGATTAGGTTTCATAATTTCTGCTTTAATCATTTCATTAGAAATTATTTTAGAATTCCTTTATAACAAGTTATTAACTGCAAGTAATAATGTTTTAGAAAAAATCATTGTTCAATTATTCAAAAAAATAAAATAGGTCTTGCTTAATGCAGTAGACACATTCCTCAAAAGTACAGTCAGATATCTCTATTTCAAGGACCTGTCTCATAGTGGCAGTCATGAAATTTCATATTAAAACTATGATTATTGCTCTCACGGCAGAACGTGACACTAGCCACAAGACCTGAAGATGTTCATCAAAGTATGACATCTTTGTGTGTTGGTGTCTAATGAATTGTCTGACATAAGCATTTTTAATTTTGACCCATATTTCTGAAAATATCATATCATGAATTTAAGTATATTTATTATAAAACAAACATTTTTCTGTACAAAACTATTTATACTAAAGTGTTTAGGCATGTGTAGAAATCCTCTGGGACTATTTAAACCAAAATGCAGATTTTCATAAAATTTCATGTTTTTGTGGTTAGTGATGGCATGCAAATACAAAGACCTCACAGTAGTGAATAATGTTTAACATAATTTATTGTGGACAATTTTTTTAAAGTGAAAATGAAAACTCTACAGTGTATAATAAAAAAATATATAGACATATATAACATTGGTAACATCTTTTTTCTTTGGTAACTATTCTATAGTCAAAATGTTAATTAAATGTTAAAGTATAATCTTAAGAAAACAAACTGTCACAATCATACAATTTAAATGTCTTTTTAATATTCTAATAATAAAAATTAATATATTTACTTGAATCCTGAAGATTCCAAAGATGAGACAGTTCAATTGCTTTAATTTTCTTCTCTAGTTCAGTAACACGGTTTCCTAGAATTCTAAAAATAATTTGATATTAAATATTATATAGTCCTATGTATAACTGAAAGTGAAGAAATTTCAAAATCTTACTTGTTAGCTTTTTTCTGATGACTTAATGCTAGTGTTTTATCATTTAAAGATTCAAACAATGCCACCACCAAGTTACGAAGATCGGTTACAGTGTTAGGATTGTTAGTTATTTCCAAGAAAGGATTAGTTTGTAATAATTGCTGTACTAAAGATTCATAATTTAATTATTAGCAAATAATTATTTATTAATAAATACTAAAAATAAATTTAAAAGCATATTGTTTATTTATATACTTTGCTATAATTAAATATTTATACACTTTATTAAAAATTTAACTCTTTGTTCAAAATATTACATAAATACAAATCTTTTATTTAAATTCAAAACTTTAAATTTTAGTGTTAAAGAATCTTTTAAATAAGTATTTTAACAGAAAAGGTCCATGGAAAACTACCATAGTATTTGAGACCAAATTTCATCTATCACTCAGTGAAAAGATTTATTCCATTTTTAAAAATTCCTCATGTTCAGACATTTTGGAATAGCCAAGAATTGAAACATTGAACAAATCCAATTCTGAATTTTCTTTGACAAATGATCTAAAAACAAAGCTTTAATCTTGAAAATATCTATCATGGACTTCTTTATATTAAAAAGTATTATTTTTAGACTTGTAAAAGTTCAGATTTATTTGTTTTTCTTATAGCCAAAAAAGATGTACAAAAATAATGGAAATGGATACATGTTTTTGAGATTGTGTCACCTTTGATAATGGACTAAGGAAACTGAAGTCCACTGCCAATGTTTTGAACTATTCAGTAATGCAATTTTTCAGTTCATTGTCATTTTCAAATTCAAACTAATTTGGTGAAAGCCATTTCTTTAAAACAAAAACAAATGATAATTAAAACTTTCCTAGTGAAATTGTTGCAACATTTGAGATGCAGTTTGAAATCAAGTATAAATTTTTGACCACTGTCATATATATATACAGTAAAACCTGTCTATGGCAACCACCCACAGTTCCTTCAAAATGACAGGTGGTCGTCCAATACAGGTGGTGCTGTAATACCATATTTCCGTACATATTTTGTGCACTTTTTAGCCATTTCTAGTACACAAAACTCGAGGTGAGCAAAAATAAGCGAATTTTTTCAATAATAGGGCTATATTGATATTGTATTTTATTCTTATCGGATAACTCGATTTACAGGAGTCGTCATGATTTTATAAGACAGATTTAATACCAATATTTTAGATTAATACAATAGTCGCATTTTCCGATTATAATGCACACTTTCTTTTTTCCGACTTAATTAATTCAACTCGATTGTTTTCGTTCGCTCCACAGTTACGTGTATTACGTCATCGATATACAAGCACGTCGTATCTCTACATCACTTTGGTTTTGGTATTCATTAGTTTAATCTTACTTTAACTTCAAAAATACTGTATTTTTTAATATTTAATATTTTCTTAAGTACAATAAGAAAAATTATTAATTAATAATAAAACGATTTTATAATTTTTTCTCATTACATGATTTCATTACATTCTGCGATTGTCATTGCGAAATCGAAAAAGGAAGGTTGCTTGTAAAACTGATTTATCGTAGACCTTCAGTATTTTCCTTGGGGGTATAAAATATTGTACACGATACAATTAATCGGCTGATCTCATCGTTTGATAATTTTTTTCTTTGTTTTTTGAAGCTCATATACAGTAGGTATGCGATAAATAGTTTCTGTATCAACCTACCTTATTTCTACGATATATTTAGAAAAATAATATCCAAGGAATTTTCGCAAGCAAAATATTCAAAAAACAATAAACGCATTAATGCAAAAATCAGTTTTACTTCCTTTTTCGATTCCGCGATTGTAATGAAATCGTATAATGAGAAAAAATAATAAAATCGTTTTATTATTAATTAATAATTTTTCTTATTGTACTTAATTAATTAAGAAAATATTAAATATTAAAAAAATACAGTATTTTTAAAGTTAAAATAAGATTA